GCTTCTGCATCGAACCATCCAGTGCTTGCATGTCCTCCCTCTGAGCACGAAGATCCTGGGCAAGCATGTCTACTCGCGCACCAAGCTCATGTTGAACATGAGAGCTGTGTTCAAACCATTGTTCATAGCGGGCACTTTGCGCTTTGAGCTCAGTCATGGATGTTTCCAATCGACATAGGCGTACATCACTATCCCAATCTGACTGCATGCGGGCATCATCCTCACAGGCAGCTTGCTCCTCCAACTCACGACGAACCGCTGTCCGAACATCTGCTCTCAGCTTATGTTCCACCTCCTTGAGCTTGGATTGTACTGCAGGCGGCTGTTGAGGTGCAGCCACCGTGGTTGTCACCGCTGTGGGCTTGAACGAAGCCCATGGATCTCCATGTTGAACCCAAGGATCTACCGCACCACTTGAGCTACTGGCAGCATGTGTCTTCAGATGTGCTCGGGTCTTGAAGGAACTCAGCACCTGCGGGGGCTCTCGAGTCACCTGCATGGAGCGGACCGGTGTGACCACCACATCTCCTTGGGCACTTTGTAACACCACCTTTGGTGGCGCGTGAGCACTGCCAACATGCCATCCTGCCCCTTCAGCGCCACCTCGAGTGGGTTGCATGGGTTTGGCATCCCATCCCCATTCTTTCAAGCTCTTTTGCAATCCTTGTCGGGTGGTGCCGTGAGGCAGAGGATACATCAGGAAGATCTTGTCAACTGCCACTTTGTGGTATTCTTCTTTTGGACGAAGGATTTTGAATGCCTCCTCCATTGCTGAGTCCTGGAAGCGCAGGCCATAGCGTTGCCCCAATCGAGTGATTGCAACCACTCCTTCGACTGTCTTCTGACGGTGTTCAGCATCTCTGAGTGTGGCCTGAGGGAGCCAAATAACCCCAAAGTCAGCACGAGGGCCCTTGCCATCCGTCTGTCGTGGCTCAACATAGATTCCAATCTTGCCCGAGATCTCTTGGATCCAGTCATCTGCAGGCTGAAGGACTCGGATGAGCATGGAGAAGCATGCGGCCTTGTCTGGTTGAACTCGACCTCCTCCATCACTCTTGCTCCATCGACGATCCCAAAGATCAGTGATCAAGCTGTCACAATCAACATCAACCGGAGCATGGTACTTAGCACATTGGCCTCCACAGGCCGTGCCTCGACAGAGAGTCAAGGCAGGCTGCCGATGAAAAAGGGCTCGAACTGGGCCTCGACATACTTCATCCCAACCAAGATCGGAGGCTTCCCACTCATCACGGAAGACTGTGAGGCGGTGTGTACAGGTTCGATTGGATTCAATGGAAGGTTTGACATTGTCCTGCAGGCGGGTCACTGTGATGTCCCCCAACTGAACCAATGAGCCCTGAACCAGGATCGGCTCCTTGGTGCCGACATATTCGGCAGGGAAGCGAATAGCATCAACAGGTAGTAGACCATGCTGGTCATGTGGCACTTCCCCAACTGTCAACACTGCCAAGGGCCCCACACTCAGGGACTTCCCCTCGGCCAGAAACGGAATGACCTGTGCAGGTGTGGCCAAAGCAAGTCCTTGGGCCTGATTCTTGACCTCAGTGAACGGAATGGCTGCCACCGGATCACCGGCTTCATCCACAAATTGGTCAGACATGACCATCAGCTGTTCAGGGTTCAGCGTCAACGGACCTGGGTCAGCTCGTGATTTCTTCCGATCAGATCTCTTGTTGGATGCTGCCACACCAAACTGTCCTGCTGCTTTGTTGCGGACCTGCAACATGAGCTCATCGTGCTTCACCCAGAGGAACCTAGTGGTAGGCTTGGATGCAACCTGTTTGAGTTCAGCCCATGGGTTCTTGGAAGCGAGTGCAGCTTCAACGGCAGCCTCTCCCACCACCTGTAGGCCTGCCAATGCACGCTCTGAGGAACGGTCCCCCGGGACCCCCTTCTGTTCAAGGAGCGTAGCCAATCTTGATGGTAGCGGAGCTACGTTGGCATAGTCACCCCCACATCCGCGTGGGCCTCCTCGACCGCGACTACGAGCCATGGGAAGATCATGCCAAAGGTCTAACTCAACGGGAGCCATGGTCTGATTGACTTGCAAAGCACCCATCAAATTGGCCAATGCCACTACCCCACATTGATCAGGCTCTTTTTGCACATGCATCGTGGTGTAGTTCATGACATAGCCCCTCAACTTGTACTGTTCAACTGCCCAAGTGGCAAGGCTTCGGACCCTGTCTTCATGGCAATGAGTGAGGCCGTCATAGTAATCCACATCCAGCCAGTCACCCGTACATGACATCACCACAAGGAACCAGTGATGCGTCAGACAGACCATACAGGCTAGTGACGATATATACATCAAGCTTGTGGCCTGTGACATAGTCGGTCAAGGCATCTTCATCCCCTTGCATCCATGCATGAACTAAGGCCACCGGAGGTGCACACACTGGTACATCTGCAATGCCAATGACCTCTTCCATAGCCTCTTGGAGGGTGACCATATCCAGGCCGACTGATGTGACCATGACCTCCTCCTCCTCGACAGTACCTTGCGAGACTGGAAGGAGAGCCTGGTGGACTTGCACCAGCTGTTCGCAGGTAGGAATGCACTGTAGTCCACACGTCAACGCCAGATGGCCGAGAGCGATCACTGCACTGACCTCTTCTCGAGTTTGAATGATGCAACGGTCATAGTGAATAGCAACATGACGGGCTCCCCACAGGTGCTTGACCCAGCAGGCAATGTTCTTGATCTCAGGATGCAGCAGATGCGCCAAACCATCAAAGTAATGCAAGGATGCTTCTGATGCAGATCTAATTCACAAAGTAGGCCCAATGGTTGCAGCCCTGAAAGATGCCCATGATCATGGAGGCTCCGTGACCGAGCAGCCTGATGGTCTCTGGAGGAACATACGCTGGCTGAGCAAGAGCCATGCTTTCTTTGAGCGGCAGCAAATATGCACCAGGTGGCAACTTATCCGCAGTGATTTGCTGGATGGAGCTTTGAAGTGCCTCGCAATCAACCAAAGGAGTCGGGGCTGGAGGACTAGATCCAAGGGGCTCAGTGCAATCCATGGAAAGGACAGGCACCTCAATCAGGGTAAGGTCATCCCACACCCGTGAATCAGCAAACCAGACGGTGCCATGGTTGTCATAGTATCGACATGGTTGCACCTGGAGCCGCAAATGCCAGAACGCTTGGAAGACAAAGCTGCCAGCCTTCAACAATGCTTGCAGGTCACCATAATCACATTGGACCGTCACCTTGATGAGCTGAGTAGCCGAGGGCATACTTGCTGTTGCTGGCGTTGTAACCAACTCATACTTGCCTGCTCGTCCGGAGTGCTGAAGGAATGCGTGATCAGGCACCACGTAACCTTGGTCGTGTAGCCAGTGTACCTGGGTGCAGTCCCAGCGGTTGATCGCTGCTCGCATATCCTTCACCAATGTGCCTGAGGAGGTCAGGAAGACGAGATCGGCATCCGCAGTATCTCCAACATGTGGTCGAATCACAACATCTGGCCCATGCTGAGGGAGGGTATGATGTGCCATAAGCCGAAGTCGTTCCAGATAAGAGCGCAATACATGCTCAGGGACCACCGTCGAACCAAGCATAGAGCTGAAGCATTGCGCCAGAACCCAAAGCGCCTGAGCAGGCGCCGCTACCTGACCAAGGAGCACCAGAGTCGCCTTCAGGTCATCTGCAATGCGAAGATCAGGCGGCAAAGTTTGCAACAAAGCTACCTCCCGGGGATGCAACCAGCGAGGAAGGTTGGAGGCACATGAATGCACGTAGACTCCACGAAGACCACCACGAGCAAGACGTTGTGGGCTCAGTCCTGTTGACCGACAGCCACATGGGCAAGGTGCCAGTGCGCTGCCATACGAGTGTAGGAACGTTGCACAGCAGCCGGATGTCTGAAGGACTCTCTGATCATGTCCCATGGATGGATCATGCAAGAGCTGCAATTCAAGGCCATCCAGTTCAAGCTGAGCTTCATCGGACTGTGCCCAGCGACCCCACACGGGAATGATCTTGTCCACCGAGTCATAGCCAAAGGAAGGCATAGGTTGAAGCTGCGTCAACATCATCTGGGGTGGAATCAGGACAGCCCACCATCGAGTCCTGCGACAAGGCCATGTGTGTTCCAACGATAGGACCTTAGTCAGCAGCCTAAGTCCAAGGGCCGCAGCCAGTGCTTGCAATCCTTCGTGGATTTCCTCATATTGATTGACCTCGGCAACACACTCCAACATGACCATGGCTGCCTGGTTGTACCAGGCTCCTTTCAGAACCCCGTAAAAGGTGGAGGCACGACGGTCTTCAAAACCTCTTCGGTCTCCCTGGCGTGAGAAGGCCTGACACGGGAAGCCTGCAAGCCACAGGCATCCTGAGGGTGGGCCACAGCAATGAATGCGATACAAATCAGCATCATGATTCACATCGCCAAGAATCACATTCTGGTGACCATTCATGTCCAAGTGGGCCGTCACCAGTGGGCTGATGTCCATAGCAGCCACCGGTGCAATGCCAAGTGCAGCAGCGCTCAAACTCATGCTAGCCAAGCCACTACAGACCTCTTTGGCACATGTGGGGATCGGTGAGCATAGCGGGATAGGGACGATCTTCGTGTCGTGGTCACATGAAAGGGCAAACCCCGCGCCCTCGCTCGCAACCAAGGCTCCATAGATCGTAGTTCGAACATCTCCTAACTCGGTGGAACTGGCCAAGGTGCATGAGGTACCTGTGAGAACCTGTGCACAAAGCCAAAGGTCATGGGAGACCCTCCGCTCAATGCGGAGAACGCCAGTCCAGCGCATGCCCACCGCGTCACCCAGTCCGGTTTCCATGGAACGCGCCCCCCGATCTTCGGTCGTAAAACAGCCCTACCACTGGAAGGTCTCGGGCCGAAGGCTCAAGAACATTCAACAAAATGAATGACCTGGTTTTGGAGTCAAATCATTAAGTAGAACCATGGTGGTTCGGCAAGGTTGGAAGGGTCAATTCCCTGCAACCTGTGAGTCAGGACTTTGAGGGCAGTGTGGTGGTGACCAGCCATGATCGACGACTCTTGAGGGAAGTCTGCAGTGAGCCTTGGCGAGCCTGGAGAGGCCGGAGAGACGGAATGGTGGACCGCATCTCGCCGACCTCTGTTCTCCTTGTGGACGGGCAAGATGGATTGGGGTGTTCAAGCGTCTAAAGATGAAGAAAGCACTTGGAGAAAAGGGTGTGGATAAGAGACATATCGATATGATAGACTCAGTGATAGACTACTCTACCAGCCAGAATGTCTTTCGATTCCAGATCGCACGGGCTAGAGTGCCCACCTTGGAGCCCCAACCGTGTCATACAAGTGAATCTACTTGACGGCATGTGGAAGACTGTAGTACTGTAAGTACATCGCTTGGTCCTCTCTTTGGGACCACTTTGAGGATGCGAGGCGAGGTAAAAGGCCATCCCAACACGCGTATTGGAAATTGCCTTTTCAAGAGGCCAGGGCCAAGAGATCGAAAAAACACACTTTGTTTCTCAGATCGACACGCTTCGCGGCTTGGTGTTCAGGTGTGGACTCGGCTGGTGTGCTCCACCGAGCCACACCGGATTTCCGGGTGCGACGTACGTCGAAGGCATCGACATGGATGGGTCCAGAACTAGTATATGCATGCCTTAAAGAATGCCTTTTCTGAAAAGGCATTTTTTACATGAAAAAAACATGCTTTCCGAAAAGGCATTTTTATGGTTACGGAACTTTGTCTGAATAGCAATAGGAAGAGCAGTTGGCAACAAGGTCATTCTTTTTTCCTCTGGATTCACCCATTCTTGTGTTTACTCTCTGCGACTTGCAGGCCATAAGAGACGGACACCGCTTCCGCGGCTCTTTGGGACTCAAACAACCTCCACCGCCATGGGCCATTCCAAACGAAAACATCAGCGACGGCGACGACCGAGGACTTCTACGCGGTGAAAGACAGGCGGAACGGCCTCCGCGTTGTTTGCGGCCTCCGCGTTGTTTGCGGCGCCGCGAAGACTCGGCGTGCCACGTTTCTCGGAGAGTCTGGTGGTCTATAGTCTATATAATTTTGGTCTAGATAATGACAATACGGACAATACGGGTAATTATGTACTTAGTACTGGACGACTTTGGTTCGCAACTCGCTGCTTTGCTTCCAGCTTTTGTGTGAAGGAGTGCAGGCCATAGAAGGGATGCGTATAATATAATATTTATGTAATTCATTGTAATTCCCTGGTGTTAGTTGAGCGGATGTGATCTTGATGCCGATGCTGGCACCGTTTTTCGTTTTAGTCTTAGCCAGGAGAGGCGTGCGGCGTGCCCCGAACTTGTTCTGGATCACCCGCCTGCATGTCAGCACATAGTCTAACAATTGTGTCGCGAGCTGTGCAAATCTGTAGACTGGTGATGACTAAAATGCCATATGAAGGGGTTCTACACTCCAGGTCCAATGGTTTTTGATTCAAGAATCTACACAGATCAGTCACCAGTACAGGCACCCACAACGCGAAAACGGATAAGTCGATAGTGAAGTGAGACCACCTTGATGATATGGTTCATGGTTCACCGTGTCGGTGCTTTGGGCATTTCATCCACGTCATTGTGATGATTCCAGGCAACTGGAGGCTTATTTGAGGATCCCTTGCCCTCCCTCCAGTCATGGAAGTGGATGGCATGGTCCGGGTGACTTCCACTTCCGTGTTTTGTTGGAGGGAGCCGCCCTTTTTTTGGGGGGTGACCTTTGATATATGGGTTCGTGTTCCTTTGCTCCCGCCGCAGCGCCTCCCTCCTTGGTGGTCCCCGTCGGTACGGTACGCCTGGTGCGGCGGGGGGAAACGCGCAGGCAACTCCAGCGGACTAGTTTGGAGTCCTTCGTGCGCTCCCTCCGGTGACAGGGGGCATTTTTCAGGGAGTGCTCCTGACTAGGGCATGAAGTTAGGTAGGGTGAGATGATATACACAAAAGTGCTAATTAGATGGAGATGGAAGGGATTTGTGTTTGACTTTTGGAGACTGAAAGCAAGAAACTCTGCAGAGGTGCAGCAGTACACTTGCACCGACGAACTCGAAGTGCTCCGGATTCGTGTTTCATCTTGGGTGAACCATCCCCACCGACCAACCGTTTTTTTCGACAAGACACAGTTTGGATGTTTCAGGCATGTCCATGCTCAAGTGAAACCACGAGCAAGCCAGAGACCCAACTTGACCCAACCTCAGTATCTTGGAGTCTGAGTTGTGGGGGGCATCACCCAAGCTTGGTCCTCACGTGGCCTCGCTTGGTCTTTGGTGCGCCTAGCTCCAGCCGCGCAGAGCGCGGCTCCACGCGCGATGGACTGCAGCCTCGCCCCTGTACAGGTGTACAGCCCTGCTGCTTTCGTGCGGACGGCCGACAAACGTTGGGACGCACGGTTTTTGGGTTGCGCGAATTGGATTCGGGACGGTTTCGCGCGCAATGTTGATAGCCATGGCCATGTAGGTACAGGTACGGTTTCACGGCTTAAGTCTGCGGCATGGGGTCAATTGGGATTTGTATCGTAACATTAAATGAGGCTCGTTCCCGATGCTGGTGCCACACATCTGCCTTGGCCTTGAACGGCTCAAGTTTCAGGTGATGGTGAACATGGGGCGGTCTGCAACATCCCCTTTGAGGTCGAAGAAGCTTGATGTCAAACACCTTGCACATTGCGCATGCATGTGCCGCAGGAAAGACTATGAGAGCATATGAGTCCATGCTTGCCCGGCAAGAATGGACCATGGAGAGCTGACAGTTTGGAAACCATGGAATTCCACAAGAGTCAGCCAACAGCCACCGCACCACAGCATTCATACGCATGCCAGATGCTTCCAGATCATTTGCAATCATTTGACCTGATTCAAAGGTAATCTCAACTCCTTTCGCTTAACTATTCCACTGAATAAGCGCATTGAAGCCTTCCACGGATAGCTACTTGTAGGAGATGAAATCATGATTGAGAAGGTCACACCTCTTCATAGCCTTTTAGATTGGCCTTTGAAGGATTGGTGAACGGTCCGGCGCCATGCCAATGCTGCTGCTTTACGTTCACTTGCTTGTCTCTCACTCTCACCTCGCCCAGGTGAGGGTCGAAGGGGTCGAGCGCCGTCGTGAGACATCGCGCCCGAGGACGGTCGTTTTCATGACCAGTACGGCCAGGAGCCCTTAGAGTCGCGTCTTTGCTCCTAAGATGAGTTCCAGCGCAGCAAAGGAACGCACAGCAACAGCCGGAAATCCCGGACATCCATTGGGCGGAAATCCTTGGACATCAAAGGCGACATGTTTTGGGAGAGCTTGTGACTAGTGGGTGCGTGTTTGTAGCCTTTTTTGGGTGAGGAAGGGTCCAAGACTGTCCAAGCAAGATACAATAACCAACCCCATCCAATCCCTAGCCAGAAATTAAAAGATTCTATCTCCCTATGCCTGTCCTTTTTTGCCTCTTCATCAAGTGACTAAATGTGACTACGCCACTGGAGTTGACCTTGGTCGTATTGAACGGGTTTGTTGGAGAATGCAACCCCTTCTGCCCACAAAACGAATCGAATGAACCGTAACTGGTCGACTTGTCGACGTTGCATGGCCAAAAGCCTCCAGCCATCGGAGACCGGTTGGTTTCGGTGGGACGGGTAAACCAACGTCCCGAGGGCTCGGCCTCCGGCTGGCGCTTCGGTGCCGAGCTGAGTGCGACCGAAGAGGAGGAAATGGGCGAAGCAGTAGTGGGTAGTGCTGGGTGAAGAAAGGTCGTAATTCCCGGGCCAGTGCTGGGTGTGTATTGAGCAGTAGCAGGGCAAAGTTGAACACAGGAACTCAGAGCTCAGTGCAGACGGGCCTTGTGCACACACATGTGCAGACGGAAAGCCTTGTGCAAGTGTGGGCTCAGGCAAGAGAAATTTTGTCCAGTTCAAAGCCGGCTGGGGTATGTTTTTTTTTTTTGGGGGTATGCCGCATACCTGTAGGCATGACGGTCAGTCCTTCATCATTCCCAATCAAGAAAGCTATGAGATCACGACCAGTTCATAGGCAGGACATGGATGGATTTCTGAAAGTCCGGGTCCTGGACACGCCCCAGAGCGAGCGAGGCTCCTTCATCGATGGAGGCCCCGAAGCAACGCGATGCCCAACGCGATGCGCGATGCATGGATGGCGGGTTGGTGTTCTTTTTCCTTGATCCGGGCCTTGTAATTGTTGATATCGAAAGCGCCCACAGACCAGCTTGGCACATCTTGCTCCAAAGAACACTCTCCGAAGCTTTGATCTCCTAGGGCCTAGGGGTCTCCTCCCTCCACGCCACGCTCCCGCGCGCTGCGTCCGATGCTCCAGGTAGCGAGGGCTCCCGCATCTACGTGATGCGCTGGCGCCCGTCCCCACGCCCTGAAAGCCACATGGCTCTGTGGTTCGAGGAGGTCATTTTTCAAGCTATTGCCATTGCTAGTAGGTTGGAGGCCACCCCTGTTATTCCAACGCATCTCCCGGAGACTGACGTCGGGAAAGACCCTGACTGAATGGACTTTTGCAGCGGAACGGACTGACTGACCGTGGAAGGGGGCCTTTCACCGCCCATTTTTCCGGTTTTCTTCCAAGTTTTTCAGGTGGCCGGCGGGCGTGACTTTTGTCATCGAGATTCGCATTGGGTCGAGACCTGAACCAGGACTATACAAGCAGTTTTTGTCCGGGTTTTCTCCATGGATCCAGGGCCACACTGAACCATTCTCCATAGGTCCACTGAACCCTTCATCACGGTCCCCACCGCCGTGCTTTCGCCCCTCTTCGGCCTCTTCATTTCTCCCCCTCCGACGGTCCGACGGTCCCCGCGTGCGCGCCTATGAGGCGAAATCATTTGCCCCGAGGTGGTGGGCGACTCCAGCCCCTTTGGACCGTTGACCGTTAGACAGAGGAACGACGAGCGTTTGGGTTTCGGTTCGGAGGGGATTCGGATAGCTATAGGTGTTGAGTTAGGGGATGTAGGGGTTGGGTGAAAGCTCTTGCAAGACTAACAAATCGCAGATCAACAAAGAACGGTTCAACAGATGATGGATGGATTGAATTGGAACATATTGAATTGGTAGAAGACTGGTGCATCACATTAGCAGGACGACCCTTTTGTCAGTCAGTCAGTCAGTCTGTAGCTGTTGAGGACCGGCTAATGTTACGTCGAGCATGCACCCGATAGCCAGCCATGTTTTTTGGGGAAAACAAGCAGCTGATTCACTCTTCGCTTCCTGAATCAGAACGGAGCTCCAGCTCCACAGGAACGGCTCCTAAGGAACGAGCTCGGAGCCCGATGGAAAATGGAAGACTTCGAGCCTTGGAAGGCTCCATTCACCGAGCCTTGGCCCCTCCCCTCCCCTCCCCACCGTTCTTGCGCCGTGCGCCAGCCGCCCCCCCAGCCCGTGAGGCATCGCGCCGGGCGTCGCCAGCTTCGCGCTGACGCCCGCGGCGGCCGGCGCCTCGCTGGAGCCGTTGATCCGCTTCGCGCGGAAGACGCTGCACGAGGCGCGGTGGAGCGGGGCGGAGCGGTGGAGCGGCGGAGCGGAGCGGTTGGATGGGATGGTGTGGGGAGCGGGCTTGAAGATGGAGACTATCAGTCTAAGGTTTGAGTCTTGAGCTTTCGGAGTTCGATGAGAGCTGCAGCTCCTGTCTCACCCTTTCATCAACCACCAAAAGACGTCAGGAGCGCCACCGCTGGGGGGAGATCCCCCTCTTCCTCCGCGCAACCGCTGGGATGCGTTTGCTTTTCCCGGATGAGCGCGAGAGCATCCTAGACGCCTGGTGCAGTGGCTGTGCAGAGGGTACTTCTGAGCCTGGCCGGGCCAGGTTTGAGACGCCTGGGCCGTAGTAGGTTGAGAGAGTTGAGAGTTTCCCTATCCATGGTGGAGCCACATCATCAATAGATCCCACCGAAGATCACAAACTGAGCATTCCAGGGCACTGGCCAGGATCCCAAGCACTGGTACCAGTGAAATTTAGGACATGTTTCCAGCCAAGTACCTTACGCGCCTTATTATGGTCCAACCAATTCCCACTAAGCACCATCAGGCACCCAGAAAGTGGATCTCCTGGTTCGATTGTCCTTCTGATTGCCTTGGAGGCCAAGGTCTGAACTCCGCTGGAACTCACCACACACACACACACATGTCCACACATGAAATTTTCATGTCCACACATGAACTTCATCTCAGCCAAAACCACCCAGGGGTTCCATCATTGAACTGATTTTGCCTCAGAGATGTGTGTTTTGATTTCCTGCAAATCCTCCTATGTGTTTATCCTGCCCTGCGCCCTGCTTTGAGGAAAACATCCGGACCTACTTTCGGACCCTGCCCTTCCTATTCCGCCTTTTGCCGAAAAGAGAGTGGGGGCAAGGGGCAGCGTTGGCACGCGCGAATGAGGCCGACCCCTTTTACCTCACAAATGGTTGTCATCGCATGTTGTCGGTTGTCACGGCCAAGCCCAAGACGCGGCCCGCCCGAAGGGCCAAAGTGTCGCGGGATCGTCGTTCATGCCTCCGAGCAGGATCCACTTTTGATCCGATTTGGGGGAGTCAAGTTTGCAATGTGGGGATTCCGATGTTTGTCCACTGCAGAATTATACCATTTGCACAGGCCCCTCCAAATCTGCCCGTGTTTTTGCCCCAAGCTAGGCGATGACATGGCCTCAGTAGCCACTGGAGAGGACGGGTTGGCATGGGAGGTAGCCACTGCACATTCGGGAAACTGTGCGATTCAGTGGGGTTGGGGTGATGCAAATTTGAAGAAGCTGCATAATTATATATAAAATGTACGAACTGACAAGCAAGACTGCCAGCGGGGTCGCGAGGGCATGGAACTGGAGATGCATCTTCACACCTCGCAAGACCTCCTGTCTAGTGAGCAGTGATGTTAGAAGGATTTGAAGGGTTTTCACCGGACCGTGGTTTTTCTTGGTTTGCAGCCTCGGACCATGCCCGCGTGCGCATCCCTCGATGGGATCATCGCCGCGTCCGGCAAGGAGGAGGGCGTCTTTGGGTGGATCTCTGCGTCTGGGGGCCCCAAAAGACGAGAGATGAGAGAGACTGAGGGGGTGATTTATGAAAGACATGCCCTCTCCCTATGGATCCACTGCCACCGAACCTGGTCGGTACGGTGAGGAAGGAGACTGTAGGCGGGATGGAGGGTCCAATTACCTTCTGAGGTTTATGTCGTGGATCCATAGGGTCTTTTTTAGGTCCCAATGCCCCAAAGACTGAACGAATTCGTGTCGGACGGGTTTCTTCGATCGGTTGGGTGTTTATTTTTAAACCTTCGTTAGACACAAAACGGCAGGGTCAACAGGTCGTGCTTTTTCGATTGATCAGAGAGTTGGCTCTGTGTTCCCTTTCAAGGAACTATTTGATGGGCAACCTCAAGCCAGACGAGGTGCCACACGCGGAGAGCGCGAGAGCCAGACTCGTGCCAGTTGATGCCAAGCCTACGTAGAATGACCTGCTACCACACGCCGCCGTTTCGACGTGCCTTTTCTTTTCTGAAAGCCGATATAAATCTCATCGTTTAGTAGACTCTGGACCGTTCACTAGTTCTCTGCTGGGGCGTTCGCCGCCTTCCCAGCCGAGCTCAGCCGGAGGTGCCCAGCTCCCACAGCACGGTGGGCTCGCTGGACCTCGGTGGTGCCTCTGTCGCTGGGACCGAAGAAATTGTCGGGGCGGCATACGTTCGTAGGATCAACCACGTGGAGGGTAGGATTCTAGTTGACTAAGCACTTCGATGAACTAAAGTTAAGCTCTCAGCTGATCATTTGGAAAACCTCGGGTTAAGACATGCTTTAAGACGATGATGGGACTTGAGCCATATCGCAAGAACATATTATACCCCAAGGAATTGAACCTAATGTCTGAAGAATCGTCGAAATCGAGGGATCGTCAATGAAGCCATGAAAAAAAACGCAGTTCACATCAGTTCACTTTTTTTCACTTCTTTGCTTGGATTAGTTTGGGCAGTTCAGACCGTCGCCGTGTGGATCGCCGCTTTTTTTTTGTGCCAAACGACGTCGCCGCCCAGCGAAAGCCAAGCGATATTGTCGCAGACTGCGTCGCACAGGATCCCGATCGAATTCCTTAAGGGTGAAGACGGCGCTCACTGCGATGTGCGCATCAGTCTGGAAAGGCAACAGGGACCCAGGTCAGTACCCAGGTCCTGAATCAGCTTCAGCTCCTTAGAGTTCGCAAGTCAGCACGCTGGACCTGATAGGATCAGCCAATCTAGTGCTGTCAGGCCATGAAGCAGCCACCGAACTCGCCAGCATTCAAGAACTAGGGAAGAACGGTCCCGAGCTGGAGACAATACTCCATGCTTTAGCGTGTTTGATTGTGTAGTTGCCCCCGGTGTTAAAGCAACTACAGTACAATCAGCTTATGCTCTTTCACGCTCTCGAAAAACAACAAGACTTCTGGCTCGCAGAATCACTTCTTGTTCACCTTGGGTATATACCATGGGTTGAACGAGGGTGCCATTTCTCGCGATGCACTTGAAAAAGGCAAAAAACTCACCGAAGAGCCCAGCGAAAACCACACAGACACCACAACCGGAGTCAAAGGGGTTTCGACTTGATCATGCCCTATTATTTTTCGGATGGAGCTTGCAATCCGTCTACCGTGGCTGTCTGTGGCTGGACTGGGTCACCGGTGTGTTATCCACAGCAGTTCTGGAAATCGACTTTCCAAAACCTCGCGGTGAATCCCTTCTCCACTCCCTTGAGTCTAATGGTTTATGCATGACATAGTCATAAAAACATCGATCCATTCAGCTTCTTTTGTTCCTGTGCCAGGGTCTTTGTGACATCAAATGGGAGTCGTTTTTCTCCCTGGGGAGCTTCCGAATGCTTCCGAAGCGACGGCTTCTGAGACACAAATCGTCTTCATGCCGCAGAAGTCTACCATCCAGCATGCCTTCCCGCTTCATTTAGGTGCCTCGGAGAGCCAGGTCAAAGGGGAGCGGCCCCGAAAAAAGGGTCTGTCTGATGCTTCACAAGCACTCCCGGACGCCATGGTGTTACGTACATTCGGTCTTTAGAGTTGCGGATAGATGCGACACATGACCCATTCAACTGAGAAGCAGCTTCGAACACCTAACACCTGGGCAGGTTATGCAGCTTCGAACTCAAGGGATCATTGCCCAAGAAGAAACACACCGACCCGCACAACTGCCATCAATGACAAAAAACTCTCTCGCGAAACGTCGATCCCCCTCAGCTGGCCCTCAATACTTTTTGCTTCATGGAGTTTTTCTTTTTTGGGGGGGGAAGACTTGAACATAACACATAGACTAGCTGGCCAATGTCGGTTTCTCCCCCTCAAACCCTGGAATATCATGGCTACGTCACGTGGATGGCAGGGCCCTGAATGGGATTCATTTTTGTGATATACAACCAAAGTGGGTTTCAGAGTAGATGGCACAATCCCCCCAAAAGGAGGTTTATATATTAGGACTCCCATCTGAAAGATGTTTGGGTGGTTGTGCCATCTACTCTGACACCACTAATGTTCAAGTCATGTCCAGGGTCTTCTTCAATCCCAATGGGCCTGAAGCAGTACTACCCTGCTGGCTCAAGTACTTGGCTCGGATCCTCTTCAGGCTCCAAAGTTCTGGATGTCACCACTCTGAGCTGCAAGACGGTTGAGAAGCACTATACCCATACTGTTGATGGACCAATACCACTCACCACCTCACCACTTCTCTCCCCTGCTTCGGGTCGCATGGCTGGCTCCCCGCAAACCGCGCCCCCTCATTCAATGTTGGCGCGACCCCTCTGAGGAGGTGGTGCAGGATTTTGGACCTTCAACTTGTTTTTGTTTTCTCACTGTGGTGGCCCCAATGTTCATGTGTTAACGAGGGAGAACGAGGGCAGCAAGAAAAGTGTGCGCAAAGTGGTGCAGGATTTGGTCCATCTTTTCAGGTCGAACGCTGCTGACCTCCAGGTGCACAAGGTCCCTCACCTCCGAAGCCACCGGTTTGGTCAGCCTCGGGGGGCGCGGGTTGGAAAAACCGAGGCCCTCATCGGGTGCAGGTGTATTCCTACTCCTTCCTTCACTTCGGGCAGCGCGAGGCGCTGGCGCAACGCCTGCGGCCGGCTGCGGAATTGTTTCGGCCCATGGTCGACCGGCAGCTATTGCTTGAACTGTCCTATGTTGACTGACCTTGTACACACGTGCTCTTTGAAGTTGGTGGACAACTACCACATTCACCCCACCGGTATTTCCAGGTGACGAAGCATCGGCCTTCGCCGTGTGCCTCCTCGGCCTTCGCGCTCGTCGCAGGCGGCGCACCGCACGGCCAGCACGGTCATCTCCGATGCGCTCCTGGCGGTGCAATCGGAGCGCACCGGCGGCCCACGGCGGGATGGTGTCCTTGGGGGTTTGGTGAGCCCACTTTTGTGCTTTTTCCGGAGGAACACCTACCCAACGAAGTCTGTGCATTTGCTTTCTATCCCTTTCTGATCTTCAGGCTTGACATAAGTTATAATTAGATAGAATTCGTTTCTTGGTTTTGGAGGTTGTAATATCTGCAAATCCTGCCAAAAGCTCGAGTTGCGGGGGAAGAACGTGCCCCCACAGGTTCGCCTGAGATGATTTTGGGAGCGTTAAGGTATCTTCACGTTGCGGAGACAAACCTGAACGGAAATCGGGCCATTGTTCCTGCCATTGTTCCTTTTCACATTAGGACTAGGTCTAGGTCCATTTAGGTCCTAGACATGGCAAATTGGTCAGCTGAGTGTCTGGAGAGAAGATGCCCTGTTAGGAATGTGACAGTCATGGTGCTTCGCTCCATCGTTTGATGCGAGGAGACCACCGTGAGCCATCCCTGCTTCGCGAAAGGCGGCTCATCAGAGACACACCACCCGTTCTTGTAGCTTGCTTTAGTGAATATTTGACCCTTTTCCATTCTTTGCATGACTCACTACTATCAATACTGACGCTTCTCTTGCAGGACTTGGAGATCCTCATGTTTTTTGCCGCTTTTTTCGGAGAGACCGGGACTCAGTTCAGTTAAGCCTCTCCACTGGACGGAGGCTACATCTACACGCCCATGTTCTCGTACAGCGGAGAGACCTTCGCACCCATTCAGGCCCGATTAGTGGAGGTGGGAGGGACCACTCAGCCCACTCTGGGTGGAGGTGGAAGTCGATTTTGGAGAAGAGGTTTGTGTTCTTTCTTCCCTCTCTGGATTCTGAGAAGGGCCCGCCGCCCAAGAAGGCCTTCGGAAAGAAGGAGGAAGGCATGGCAAGCCAGCTTCTTTGAATTTTGCCGGGTTTTCTGGTTAAGAAGAAGCTGGTTTGTGGGAAAATGCCCGCTTCCTTTCTCCTCCACACGCACTGCTGCGCCGCAGCTCCGCATGAGCCGAATGGCTGTTGGAGAGAGAGAGAGAGAGAGAGTCAGAGAGACACATGAGGATTTCAACTCGACACCTCCAAATCAAACCGGGGCCAGTTTTCACCCTGGCTAGGTGAAGATGAATGGCACGAGCGACTTCCAGGGCTGTGAGGACTTGGTGAAGCTTGGCGAAACGGTTCACGACATTCCTTGCGAGGGAGAAAGGTCAGCCAGGTATTGGTTCTGTCCTTGCAGGCATCTCGCCGGCCTTTTTTCGGACACCCTCCCAGCGATCGAGGAAAGGCGAAGCATGTTCAAGCGGTTTTTTTTCGAAGTATGGAGGGATCACATTGCTCAGCAAATATCGGGTGGTGCTCTCAAAGATGAGCTCCAACATGAGTTTCCATGTTCAAGCTGCATGGTTTGACCCGCCTTTGATCCTTGGGCTGTCGATCAGTGAGGAAGCGAATCTTCAACAAAGATGCACCCTGCCTCATTGAGCGCTGCCTCTTGGCTGAGTTTGGGGGCGCCAGGATGTGGCCATGCCTGGGTATACAGTATAAATATAATATACTTTAATGGTATATGTATAACCTGAAGCCATGGCGTCCACCATGTAGCTTCACTTTCCAGGTAGCTCAACCAAAAGGTCTCCTGCCATGAAAGAAAACCAGCCATATATGGCCATGATGTGTCCGGCCGCCCTTGAAACTCAAAGTCTTTCACTCTTCTGCTTTCTCCGGGGGCTGAGTCGACCCTGTGGTGCAGCACCTGTCGGCGCAACGCTTGCGGAACGCGCCGGAACGCGGATGCCCTCGAAGTGGACCGGCCCATCTCTCAAGGCGATGTTCTGGAGTTACCGTTTTACCATTGAGGTGCTGGTTTCAGAGAGCTTAGGTTTTCTATGTTCTTGGGATGTTTGAAATCACTGTCACTGACTCATATTTTTGAAGTATATGATTAAGTTAAACATACTTAAAAGCACCAACCAGCTTTCTAGTCTTCACTCAGCCAAGATGGCGATGGCGACCTTTGTTGGCTCTTAGATGCTCCAAGGTTCCTTCTACGGCGTCTACCAACCGCGGGTCTATGCCGTGCCCTTTTTGGCCTTTGCCCGGCCGCCCAAGCCGGATCCGGAACCGGTGGTGCGCAAGACACATCGATTTGGTGGCTAGGTCTCCTTCTTTTTGTCGGCTTGTTGCGACAGAACAGAACTTGTTGCGATCGACAGTTTCGAAGCACCCCCTGTCCATCCTGGATTCCTGGGATTGAGGCTCACTTCGCGGAGATTGTGAATGACTTGGGGCTCCCAGCGGATGCACAGTTGGAGGACGCAAATTATATAGTAAAGAGCACATGGGAGCATGCACGAGTGGATGGTGGGTCATGTTGGAGTGTGTGTTGAACTAGTTGAGGCAGCAAGGAGGTTAGGGAGAAGTTGGTTGAATTTAGTCGCCTTGATTTCTGAATAATGTGCTGTGATGTGCTGCTATACATTAATATTGATTATACACTCTATACCACTCATGGTGGGAACAACCAAGTGGAGAGACAGAGCTGAATTTGAGGGACCCAGTCGCCTGTTTTTAGGACTTGAAAACGGCCACCCGCTACGTTTGCTCGCTGACTATGCGACAGCTGGAGATGCTCTTCGCGCGTGTGACTGTGACTTGGACAGTTGTACCGGAGAGGGTCTTGGGACATGCATGGTTACATGGCACCTCCGAGAACTACAACGAAAAACCAGTCCCCATTCCCCATGGTTGTAGTTAGAGATATTGATTGTGTTCCTTTTTCCTTTTTCAATAGATCATGATAGACAAAAGTTCTATTGAGTCTATTGACTGTTTGGTGACTCAACGTGGGGCTGCACCTGGTGCACCTGACAGAAGCACTTGACCCGCCGTGGCCGTGTGTGGCGAACAGCCAGCAGCCAAGGATGAGTACGTGCGGACACATCTCTGTTTCCATGCGACCTTTGCTTACACCTTGCTGCACTATGGCTATGAGCTAAAGGAGTCTGCTGTGCTGTGAGGTTGGTGACCACACTCACCATGTTTTCGATGCGGCAGGAAAACCAGATCACATTCAAGTCCACGCATGGCGGCAAGCCCATCGATTGGGCCGTAGGCGCCATGATCTACGAGATCAACCAGGAGCACTGGAGAGAGCACTGGAGACAGCACTGGACAACTCTCCTACTACTCTTTGTGTTTTTGTGTTTGAATGGCCTCATGCACTGCATGTTACGTGATTTATTAGTATCAATATTTATCAAGATCGAGATTCGGATGTGGAATGAGTTTCTGCAAAGACTTTTTTTATAAAAAGATACGGTCAACCTTAGTAATGATCCGCAGACTTTGCCTTGGTCTAAGTCTACGGCGTCTACGGCGTTTACAGTTTAGTTGCACCCATATTGTGAACAGTTTAGTCCGGTACGTTGTGGTGCTTGCCGACCATCGACTACAGCACAACGGGTCCCTGACTTGGCACTTCCTTCCAAAACCCTAGCCGGAGCCTTAAAAAAGGGGAGCAGCACCTTTCTGCATTTTGGGGTGCTTGTAGTGCTCCAATCTGGGCAACTTCCTGGGTGTGACGTGTCCAATGCGGGCGTCGTGCCAGGACCCGTCTCTCTCCAGCTTTACAGCCGTGAATGCTTCAAGCAAAACGCCGGCCGCGCGCATGGTCTGAGCGGTTTCCTCTTGGTTTTAACTGCTGGCGGGCATGGAGATGCAGAGACGGAACGTTCGGAAAGACATACTCCTTGAACTCATTCATAGAATAAGCATCAATGAATCCAGCCCATGAAATAGGACCGAAGACGATGGAGTCGATGGAGCAAAACGAAACACAAAGATACACCAAAAAGATAAAGAAGGTCTTACAAAAACACGGCTAATTAGCGGTGGATTCCATTGCTTGGACCTAGAGAGAGGCATCATCTCAGCGTGTCCGTGCCAGCTGGAGGCCACACACAAGGTCTTTTGATGCTGGTGGCCTAAGAATAGGAACCCTCATGCTTCCAAGATGGGAGGGTTCTGCCTACGATCTCTCTAGTGGTTATATAGTATGTTTCCTTTGTTCTCCAGTTCTGACAATGCCCCAAGTGATTAATTACTCCTTTTTGGATGACAACAGCAATCCTAAGTAAATCACCTCTCCGCAGTCATCCCTGAGACCGGGAGCTGTTGCAGTGGCCATTTCCGCCAACCAACCAACAGACCTTGCAGACCTTGCCAGATCTTGGAAGCGGCCTGAGGGTGGCAGGTCTGATGTTCGGACACTCAAAGAGGAGTCGTTCCCCCCGAAAACGGATGCGCCGTGCTGGTCGTCCAGCCTCGTCCATCGTCCGTGCCGAAGTCCTACCTGTGCCGGTGCCCTGACCAAAGTTGAACATCTATTTCAGATATGTTGGATGTGGACAACTAATTTCACTACCAGGTGCAAATCAGCCTCTAGGACACTGGGTCACAGTTCTGTGGGGGGGGGTACTCTTTGCACCCCATTGGGGGACCTTAAAGCAATCACAAGCAATCCAAACAAATACTAGCATCGAGATGGGTGCAGTGACCACACTTACTCCTCCAACCAGAGGGTTGAACGAGTCGCATCGCGGTCGCAGGCCGTGGTTTCAGGGGCGGCCCTGTGGACTCCGCCAGTTACTGAGAGAGCATATCATCCACTTGGCCTATTGAGAGATGGACGTTCGTGACACTACAACCATCTACCACTGCAAGGGGGCGGAATGCTTGGAACTAGTGGTGGAACTGGTGAGAAAAGACGTAACATTGGAATGCTTTAGAGCTGTGAACGCATACTCGGCCACCAAAACGGCTCCGCCATGCTCCGCCCTCCTGTTTTCGGCTCGAAAACAGACGAGAGTTCTAGCGCGCCGAGCTCGGGCGTGATAGAGGGCACAGGATGTTACGCCGAGTGTGTGGGGGCTTGGTGATCTCGGGTAAGGCACCGAATCAAAGTCCAAAGCTGCAGGGCGGGTCCTTTCGATGTCCAAATGCCGGGTTGGTTTGCATTCGCGACCCTCGAAGTGCCGCATTCCGAAGTATCCATTCATAGCATGAGGCCCTCCCTTTTTTGAAGGTCTTTATGGCTCTTATCGCCGGCTTTCACACCCAAATCTAGCCTTTTATTGCCCAATTCCTGTCACATCACGTGCAGTTTTACTGCAACGGTTGCTTGTTCACAGTACTTCCTTACTTCCACTCTGTTTCTCCGTTTCTCCCCCAGCACTCTCGTCGGTGCTCTGAGGGGGGAGGCGTTTTTATGCCCAGCAGAGGCACGTGTCCTTTTTTCCCGCCAAGTGCTTGTGGGGCGTGGGATGGGTGTGGCGGTGTGGTGTAGGAAGCAAACCAGAACAGACCCATCCTCCTGGACAAAAGGGAAGCAATTTGGCTGAGGTACGGGGAGTTTGGAAGCACATGTGTGAAAGAAGCACGGTTTAGGTCAAAGAAGTGATGTTCTGCTCGAAGTTTGAGCGAGTGAGAGAATATAAAAAGTCAAGTGGGGAAAGATGGGAGATTTCTGCGCCTTGGTGAGTTCGTCCGATTTGCCCCAAGCAGAAGATAGCCCAAGACGGACCCTGGCCATGGCAGACAGAGAGAGATGGAGAGACAGACAGAGAGAGAGAGAGAGAGAGCGACAGTTTTCCGGCCTTAAGCCTCTCTCCCTCGAGTCTTCTATGTCACTTGTGAGAACTGGGATCAAGGCCAGACCCCTTTCCCAGAACTCATATCCACTTGAAGAACAGTGCCGCATTACTCGTAGCAGACACGAGTCGAAACCAGTGAACCGCTTCTTGCGTGTGTGGGCGAGACACGGTTCAGAAACATGCTTCGATGGCTGTCTTTACTTCGGTGTTGCGCTTACAAAGATGCGATTAGGGTGCTGGAACAAGTGGAATATGGTGGAATACAACTTTTGGTGCCCAATTTGATTTGGCCCGGTTTTAGGGCCACGCCAGTGCCCGCCCTCCAGGATGCTCAAGAGGCCCCTTAGGGATGAAGGAGGTGAAGAGAAACGTGCACGTCGAGAGGAGAGAGTGGGGATTCCAGATGTGTGTTGGCCTGGGCGGCTGGGAGACATATATATATATATAATGTTTTATAGTTTATTGAGTTTATTGGTTTTCTTTTTTTGAGGGGTGATTTGTTGGAAAAGAGCAGCTGGCTGGGTGTTGCAATTAAAACTCCATTCACTTTGCCGTAATAACAGGTAACATAATTGTCCATAAACATTCTTGGGTCCTTCACTGGATTGGTTCTTAATGGATCTGTTTTTCGTGTTGTGCACATTTCACAGTTCTATATAATATGTCCTTTCCAATCTTGCACAATGAGCCGTGTGCTAGTTGATGCCAAATTGAATTCCATGTACTTTCAAGGTCTCCTGGACAAGGACACTGAGAATCGCCCAAAGTACATTGCTTTATATTAATTGACAGTGAAAGGGCTACAGTACTTTCTTTTGCTGAACTTCTCTCCACGCAAAAAGCTTTCTTCCACAAGTCCATCTCAACCTTCTTCAGAAAAGCTCCAGCAGTTTCATCCGAACTCCCCGGCGGAGGGGAACGAAAGACACAGTCCAAACGCTCCAAGACACAGTCGGCCTTCTACCCCTTCAAACATGCTCAACCCTGGCCCCGGACACCCCGCGCGACGCGCGGCCGCTGAAGCCGTTCAGGAGGGGGAACTGTGCACGCCGACGTTTAAACTCCTGGCGCCCAAGACCCTGGCCAGCACCATCCAGTGAGAGGGCCCAGTGCCAAAAGGTCCAGTTGGGGCCTTTTCGTGGCACCATTTTGAGCTTTTTCAGCTGAGAACGTCCCAAATAGGGCATCCTGGTCCCCCGATGTGTTCGAACACCGTTTTGCCACCGTTTTCGCGGTTCCGCGTGCTGCACGAACACCCACACGATTTAGGAACATCACCCGTTGGAAGCCTAGCGACTTCGTCTTTCGGCAGAAGAGGCGATGGCACGGCCCTGGCTCGGCCCTGGCTCACCATCTCCCTGTCGGGGCGTTCCATGTTTCTTGGATGCCTACAGGTCAAAGACCTCATTCTACCAGCATCATCTTCAAGTAATTACTTATACTCAATGAGCTTGTCAGGACCAGGTGTTGACTCCGAAGGATTGGTCCTAGTAGGTCTCCTGGCAAGTCTGCTTCGCGAGGTTCAGCCGCGGGGTGATCGAGCATGCCGCTCAAGGTGCGCGCGCTGCGCACCGCCCCGCGACAAAACCGGCGCGCGCGCCGGCGCTGACGGGCTGGACGGGTTGGGCGCGTTGAGCCTTGAAGATAGCCAAGCTCAGCTCCCAAGATGTGGTGTCCGGCCTTGCCAGGAAGCAGACCTATTTGTTTAAAGGAAGGACCCGAAGATGTAACATCCCAACTGAAGAATCGCACTACCGCAGTACCTTTATTTATCCCAAAAACCTCACCAAAATCCTCGGTCGGATGCTGCTGTAAGGAGTAGCTTTTGAGCACTTGGGACAGCCGGGCCTACCCTGCAGGAAAAGTGGATCACCTGCCCAAGCGACGCTCCCCAGCGTGTCCGAACTCCTAACCCGGGGTGCCTAAAGGTGACTGAACTTCATGGATCAAACACGCATGGCATGCCCCTCCCCCCGCGCCGACCTCTGGACGACCTCTGGAGGAAAACCTCCAACCTCCAATTGGTCACCGCTCCGGAAAAGCCGTGATTCACATGCCGTGCCACTCCGGCTGCCGGCTGAGAAGGCTCATGCCACTCCACTCCATGCCTCGTTCCTTTCAGGTAAGCTTCACCTCACCGAGCCGGACGATGTCTATCCCGGCACCGATCAACAGGCGCGGCACGGCCTGAAGAGGCCGTGGAGAGTGGCAGAAAACAGACCCAAAGAGAGCCAGAGAGTGGCATGAAGACATCCAAAGACTCTTGGGCTTCCTTGCAGCTTCACGTCCCAACATAGTTCCAACATCGTGTTCTTTTTTGTCCCTCACCCCCACATATGCAAAAGGAGGACAAAGGAACATACGACGGTGCGGGACAAGGGACCGATGGTATCTGAAGACGTGATGTAGGTCCATGGCCTTTGGTACAAAAAAAGTAGCATCCTCTTGTTACGAGTAGTAAGTAGTATGGCCAGGAGCCCCGTTCGTAGCGTCCTTTCTCCTAGCAGCGATGCCCTTTGCTCCTAGTAGCGTCCTTGTTGTGACCTGAAGGAGCCTTCACCTCCATAGCTTGGGGTTTTGTTCCCCTGCGTCACATGGGAAAGGAGCAGTTTGCAGTCGCATGATGGATATCCTCATGTACTGAGTATGGCATCAAGAAAGGATTGACCGGGCACCAACTGAACTAAATTGAACTAAACACACCAGCTCCATGTCGGAGTACTGTGGATCATCCTGAACTATCAACGAATCCATCAACATCAAGACCTTCAATACCCTGCGCTTGCAATGGGTCTCCTGTTTGGAGACCTTTGTGAGCATAGTGGGCAGTGTAGGGTTCTCATGCCAGGTGACTCCATGACTGCAGAACCAAACACCGCTACATCACAAGCTAAACATCACGTCCCTTCATGCGCGAAGCGGTGGGAAACCGGTGGCCGCCTCACTTCGCCCCGGGGGTCGGGGACCGGGCGGTTCGGCGGCCCCCGTCCTGCCCGAGGTGATCACCCTGGAGTCCACTGGTTGGGAACACATCGCTCGGCTGCACAGGGACGAGGGCGGGCGGCGGGCGGGGGGCGATGGTGCGAGGACACCGTCTTTGTGGCGAACGCCTCGGGGGCCATGAGCCATGCGCACCATGGTGCTCAATAACCTCTTTATATACTTCTTTTTGGGTTTGGAGATGGGAGGGAGGGTTGGATATCTCGCCATTTCCTCGATGGCACGTCTAGTATGCCTGTCTGTACCTGAGTGCTGCATGCAGTGCTTTCGTTATGCCCGAGCCCTTCAGAACAGCTCGGGTTCTCGACTTGACCCTCACAGGGGTTTGGTTTCATTTGACGGTAGGGAGAATCACCACCTTTGCCAAACCATGGTGTGCCACTCAAGCTGTGAAAATCTCTGGGAAATGAACACCCCCCTCAACTCATCAAGACAGCGTCAACCTGACTCACTCAACAGCCACCTCAAAGAGTTGGATGCTCCTCATAGCTCGCCTCCCAACAGATATTCTTTATCAACTCATCTGTTCACTCCATCCGGCTGACTACTTCTTCCTCCCTCTCTCCCTCCCTCACCAAACCCCAGACTCACCTGACCACCCCCACCCCACCTGATTCACTCAGGTCATGGCGATGCGCCAGGTCCTGGCGATGGTGAACAACTGCACTGAGTGCGTCATGCCCGGCCATGAGGACGAACGGCGCCTGGCCGTGGCGCGGGTCGCCCAGAGCGGGGGCGGCGGCGGCGGCGGCGTTGGATGGAGCGGGGCGGTGGGAGCGGGTCCCAGTGGTGCAGAAAAGAGCCACCTGCAGGAGCAGCTGCAGGAGCAGCTTCACTGGAAAAAAAGCATCCAGATGAAAAGAGACATGTGCCGGGAGTCTTACATCGTGGTGTAGTCAATCATGGAATCTGGAAGCCTCAAATTGGCCTGGCAATTTGGGCTGAACACCTGCAAAGGTACTGGCTGGTTCCAACATTTATTGTGCCAACAGTTTGAGTGTCACATTCATGTCGAACAGTCTGTAGGGGTAGAAGCTGGGGGGTGTCCATTTCAATTGGATCAACCCGCCTATGCCGCCTATGGCATCTTCGACTCCCCTGACCCAGCGCCGATGGCAGGCGCTTTCGCCAGTGCACGTGCCGGTGGAACCGGTGGAACCGATCATAAGAACCTGCAGGTCGTGTTTCTGCAGGTTCTTCACTGCACACGACGTCCAAGTGTTTCAAGGTTGTCCATGATCCACTTCACCAAAATACCGGGTGTGCCAAGTTCGACCTCGACCCACTCGACCCATGCGACGGGGGCTCCCCGATTTAAGGGCTCCAACAGCAGTCCGAGCAGGGCTGCTGTTCCCCTCCGGCCGGCGCACCATCAGGTCATGCCTTCTCGTTCGATCAGCGCGCTGATTGGTGTGAAAGGCGAGTGATGCGAGGAACTGTCGTGAGTCGTGAGTTTTGGGGAAGCACAGCCGCCCAAAGAGACTCATTCAGGACCCTCACTCTAACTGTCAACCTTGTGTTTGATCAGGCGCTGTATATCAGTCAACCGGCCTGGAGCTGCGATGCTGTGGAGGATTTGGAGACTGCTGCCCCTACGCCAGGCGCCAATGTCAAGGAGCTGCAGCTCCGGACAGGCTGCCACATCCACGTGGACGACGTGGCCATAGGCGGGCCAGACGGACGCATCGATGGTGTACATTAAATGACCTCAATTCATGCTAATTACAGTGCAAGTACGGACTTGGAATCTTGTGCCCTTGGAACTCTTAAAAGCTTGGAGAAGCCTTAGGACTTGTGCTTTCCATCATGAATGGAAGCGGACGAAGAGGACGAAAACGAACAGGATGGAACATGACAGGACAGCTGGAACAGGACTGAATTGCACCGCTGGAAAGAAGCATGGGTGAGGTGTTTCAACATGGAGACATCCGATCGCCCCTGGCTCGGTAGACCTGGTCTATGTTCCTTCTCTCAGGGGTCGTTGCCTTCACGACACAATGACGAGACGGTTCACTACAACTTCATCGCAGAACCCAATTTCATCGGAACAAATTCCGATTCAGAAACTACGATTCAGAAACTACGATTCAGAAACTACGATTCAGAAACCAAGATTCAGAAACTACGATTCAGAAACTACGATTCAGCAACTACGATTCAGAAACTACGATTCAGAAACTACGATTCAGAAACCACGATTCAGAAACTACGATTCAGAAACTACGATTCAGAAACTACGATTCAGAAACTACGCCTGCGAAACTACGATTCAGAAACTACGATTCAGAAACTACGATTCAGAAACTACACCACCGAAACTACGGTTTGAACAAGCGCATCAAACACACAGGTTCACAGAAGGGACGCGTGAAAGCAAATTCAACACGAACACGCCAAACGCCTCATCCTGCGGATGGGGCGGGGGGGGGGGGGGGGGGGGGGGGGGTTACGAGGGAATAAAGATGCAACGGGGTGCGGGGGTGATAATGACGTGCAGTTTCCGAATCATAGTTTCCGAATCATACTGTAGTTTCCGAATCATAGTTTCCGAATCCGAGGGTAGTTTCCGAATCATAGTTTCCGAATCATAGTTTCCGAATCACGTCGTAGTTTCCGAATCATAGTTTCCGAATCATAGTTTCCGAATCATAGTTTCCGAATCCGCCCTTGACCATTTCATCGCACCATTGATGGGATGGGACTGGCAGATGCCGCTTTTTTTTCAACCGCCCAATGGTTTGGTATTTATGTCAAAGGTCCCCTGGTGCCATACATGGTGGTTTGGATGGTTTGGGCTCACATCTTGTTGTCAGTCTGACTGGATGCTTTGATTGATGCCTCAGATCTCATCTTCCCGGTGTGCCAAGAGGACCCCCCGGGTGACATGCGGTGTGCTCGCTTTAAGACTTCAAGAAAGAACCCAGCCCAGGTCGCCCACTTTGCCACGCATTTTTGGGCCCTCCAGCTGAGTTGAAGAACATGACCATCATGAATGCAAGGTTATCAACAAAAAAGTAAAACTGATTTTGTTCTTATTGCAGTTGTACATCCACTGGAGGATGACAACTGTCTAACTTGCTTGGAGGGCGTTTTGACCACTCAGACTTGGAGCCCGTTGTGTCCTCTTTGAGCTACTAAGGTCCAGGCTTTCAAGCTTCTGATGTTGCGAAGCGCTGGCGCACCGCTTGGTTTTCTTTCCCGCTTTTCTCTCATGCTAAAGGGTCTCAACCACACCCCCAGACAAGATTCCGAAATCCACCAGAGAGAAAAGACCACCAGTTGACCTCTTAAGATGGCCCATGTCTTGTTCCATCCGAAGCCTGCTTAGAATCACCCCATCTGACCGTGACCGCCGCCTCTCCGCCGCCGAATGCGTGGCGCGGCTGCCGTCGCGAGCGCTCAGAGCGCTCCGCATGGCGACGGATGTGCCTGGCGCGGCTCCGCGGAATCTGCCGCCCTTCTTCCCGCTGAGGCGGGACCTGACGTGGAGCCAGTGGGCTGGAGGATGGAATTCGACAGGATGGAAGACAGACACAGACTGACCAAGACGAATTCCTTGAACCCTGACACGTTTACGCCAGCTATCCAACAAGAAACACGGCTTGCTTCAAGGACATGTTGAAGCCTGTTTTAGGACGTCTTCCTTCTTCTTCTGTTGCTCCATTTGGTGGATCTATGTTGCTCCTCCCCTCCCTTCCTGCAGGGACTTCCTGGAGCAGAATGGCGTGTCCAGTTCGTCCATGCCCAAGGTGCGCGTCATCGACGTGGGCGCCATGTTCCTGGACGAGGCGGAGGACGGTCCACGGGGGTTCCGCCGGGAGCTGGTCGTGGGGTGGTGAAGCGGGGTCGACCTGGGCGGGTTGGGTTTCCACGAGGTTCGAAGGAATGTCCAAGAATTCTCAGAGGTTTTTTTTGGTGGAAATCATCCACACATAGAGGGTTTTGGCGAGGTTTTGGCGAGGGAAAGTCATCAATCGGCTTGACGGCTTTGATGGAATTCTATTTTGTTGTGCATCTCGTTGTGGGGTGGAGTTGTCAAGTCTAGCGTTTGAACGCCCCTAGCTTCCTCCAGTACATAAGGGCTTGCAGTACAACTATCCTTTTGTTTTTTTTGTGGCCCACCCATGCATGTTCAACAAAACTATATAGACACATTTGGAATGTGCATTGTGCAGATGGTGTGAACCAGTGGTAAACATTCTACATGTCGGGTATTGCAAGAAACCCGCCATCCACTGCATCCCAAAAACACAATGCACTCCCCACAAAACTAACGGTTGGTGACAGATCAGGGCATGATGTTCCACCATCCTCTGCGTAGGGCTTATGTCCGGATCAGGAGCCCAGCCCCCTAGCGAGACTTCACTACCTTCTGCTTTGGCATCAGTCCTGAACCGCTCCTGCGCAGTGCAGGAGGTCTGGCAGCCCTTGCAGCGGCGTGGACACTGCGCTAGCGTGGTCGGCTTTGAGCCCTGCGCCGAGGAGACCAGCGACCGAAGCGACCAGACACCAAGTGCCCGACCGATGTGGTTTGGAGACTTGCAGAGGTATGAAGAGACCGGTGTTTTGGGATGCTTCTGGCCAAAGAAACGAGGAAGAAGACATGCAATCATGTTGTTCTTTCCATACACATGTGACATGTGTGACTTTTTGGGGTGTGCGCTCGCTGGGTCCTTCTTTAAACACACCTTTGTCACATTCCATTTCAGGAGAACATCAGGCTTGCCAGCCTTTAGGGTACCTTAGCCTTACAGACCAACATCACCCCCACAAACAACCAAAGCACGGAACCACTGACTGGCTTTGGCAGAGTCCCGAGTTCCATGTTGAGGTTCTTTGCTGGTTGTGGAGTCGTTTTGGTGGTTGTGTCCACGAGCAAATTACGAGGTATTCAATGTTTGACAGGTCCATGGATGCCTATCCCTATAGGGCTCCAAGCACCTTCTAAGAAGGTCTTTGGGGTGGGTTTGGACTTGGGGCCCTATAGGGTATATGGCTATGGCATGCTTTTTCGATATCACGCTTTGCCCGCGCCAACCACCTCTCGGCGCGAAGCGAGCGCTTCTAGAGGAGTGTGAGCGACTGAATGCCTCGGTCAACGGCTTGCGGAAGGACGAGGAAGGCCGGAGAGCCAGTCCCTCCGTGGCTCTTCAGCCAGTCATGGTGTTTCATTGCTGTCACCCTATTGGTAGTTGATAGGTAGTTGGTATAGTGTATAGTTGGTTTCACCATCTGTTACTTCACTGAATCCCAGAAAATCGCGACTGCCACAAACGGGTCATGTCCCGCATGTCTTCAGGCTCGGCCAGTGCGGAGCCGAGCGCGGCAGTCGCCGCCGCCGAGAGCACGGCCTTCCGGTTTCTGCCCTGGGCGTTGGGAGACGGACAAACGGGGCAGTTCCGGAAGTGCTCGGCCGCCATGACCAGCTCGATGCTGGAGCCAACCTGGGAGGGCGAGACGATGAGAAGGGGGGGGAAGGCAGTGAGAATGGGATGAGCGACGGACGGATACTATTACAACTATATATACATATATACAATATATATTGGTCAGTTAATTGCAACAATAAGGAGATATTCAAGGTAGGTGGAGAGAAGGAGGTAAGTGATAGAGCACTTGAAGGACACCCCCCTGGCGGTGTGAAAGGCGGGCAGACTGTGAATGACTGCGAGCATTCAAGGTGGACTTTCTTCAGTTTCATCCGGTGAGATTTTCCGCGGTCTTGGCCTTAAGAGTCCTCAAGAGAATCCTTCTTGAAAGAACGCCTATTTTTTCACAATTTTTTACAGTGGTTTCAAGAAGTCGATGGCACAGACCCCATGATGCCCTTTAGATGGGGGTCCATCATTGCACCACCGATATTTGGGGGTCTGTGCCATCTATATCCTCTCAATCCACTTTTTCTCCGTTTTTTTTATTGGGCCTTCCTTTGACATCTGTTTCTTTCAAGGGATCAAGATGATCACCCCCCCCCCTCTCCCGCTTCTCCTCCTCGTCACGAAGCGAGGAGCCCAACTTACCGCTGCTGAGACGTTTCGTGCAGCTCGAGGAGGTGCCCTGGCAGTGAGCCCTGCAGCTGATGGGTTGAAGGTGAAGGGTCAGCTGCTTGGTGGTGCTGGGTTGCTGGTATGGGCCGGGATGAGTCATATTGAATCTTTCATGAGTCTAAAAGAACCTAAAGAGCCGCAGACCTGGTTTTGTGGGAGGGTTGGTACATGTTGGTACTCCTATCCCCCGATTCTATGAACCAACCCGCTTCATTGGGTGTTCATTCATGTTCAATTAACATTTCTTTCGCTGGCGAGTGTTTTTCCCATGTTTTCTTGGATTCTGGTTGGGGTTGATTCTTCCCCATTCCCGGACCCCGTGGCCGAGTCGCCGCATGCGTGAGGTGGCTGGCCCCAAAAGCAACTCCAACCCCCCCTTGCTCCAGTCCCCGAACATCTTCCATCCGTTCCTCCGTCTTCCTCCCTACACCTCTAAAGAAAGACAAATGGCACCTCTTCCCCTCCTCCACCGTGCCGGCTGCCCCTCTTCTTTCCCCCCGCCCCGCCCTCTTCTCCAGCCGCGCGGTGACATGGGGCCATCCTTGGTGCGGAGGTGACCACGGTCGTGGAGCGGAGCGAGATGGAGACGCGGCGTTTGGATGACTTGTTGGGAGACATCC